AAACAATGACTTTAAGGAAGGGTTAAGTTTGATCAAATATTGGAGCATGCTCCTGCAAAAATACAATTCTCTGGATCATCTCACTGATGAACGGCACAACTTTTCTCACGAGATGCAAGAGTAGATGGTTTTTGGATCCCTCCATCCCAAAAAGAGAAAAAAATTGCTTCCACACGTTTTGCTTGGAGTTAACATGAATGATGATACCCAACTTCAGTCATCCTACTAACAAAGTTGTGCCAGTCAGTCAGTCATTCTAAGTGTCCGCCAATTGTACCACCTCTGATCAAGATTTTGTAAGTTTGTGTTAAATTTCAGACCAGCCAGAAACAACATTCCACAATTCCAAGAAGGGAGTGAAAAAAAAATCAAATGTAAAAAAGCTTGCTTTTGGGTTACGCCCTTTGCAGTCTTTCTTAAATGGAATTGGCAATGCCTGCAGTCATTTTTTATACATCTGCAGCCAAACTAAGTGACACACCAAACTCAAGAGGGCAGTATTCTCTTCCTAAAGCAAACTAAAAGCACAAAATGTGCCTTGGCTTATTTAATGAAATCCGAAAATACTTTTTGATTGATTCAACTGAATTTTGGCCATGGTCCTAGCAACTTCCTCCCCCCCAAAAAAGAAGGAATTCTCGGCTTTTACAGCTCCAAATGAGCTGGCTCCTTGGTGAGGTGGAAGGAGAAAGCAACAACTGACTCAAACTTAGTGTCGTACATGCCGTTCAGGGGCTCAATGGTGGCAGTGTAGGTCTTGCACTGCACTTTGATGTCCTCCTCCTTGGCCTGCAGGTCGAAGCGCACGGCAACATATGGCTTGATGTAGCCGGCCCACCGGGACACGTTAGTGGTGGCCATGAAGGGGAAGTAATGGAAGGGGACGCCGTGGTAGGGGTAGATGCGGGTGCCCTCGCCCAGCTGTTCGGGCTTCTTGTTTTTCTGCGAGAGAAATGGCCCATCACGGGTGTCTATGAGCAATGAATCAGCCAGTTCGGTATTCCAACCATGCATGCCCAAAATGAAGAGTGTCCGAGGTCATTTGGGAGGAGCAATATATATACACAAGTCAGACCTTTGGGCACAGTCATACGGTGACTTGCATACATGATTTTTTTCTCAAATAACCCTTGATTCTCTGGAACCTGGAAGTGGCTCACTGACAATGTAAGTTGTGTTATGATTCACTCAACTTTTGTTATTTAAAGGCTGTGGAAGCAGAGGGCGGATCTAAAACCAATCTTTTGGGGCAGCCCGAAAACTTTTGAAATACATGTAACCTTTGATGATTTTTCTGAGGGGTAAGACTATAATTTGGGGATTTTTACATGTTTTGTGAGGGAAGTAGAAAGTCCCTATAAAAGGCTGTATAACTTTCTGTCAGTTTTCAAAACAAAAAAATCTGCTTTTTTTAAGTGGGGGGGGGTGGCCTCTGTTCCCTCCCCTACTGCCTCACCCTCCGATCCATCGGTGGAGGGACAGACAAATAACTTTGTTATAAACAGACCTGTACTATAAAAGGATAAGAAAAACAAAGGAAAGCAAAAAAAGCTAAGGTGACTTGGGGACCTCAGACTTTGCTCTTCAGGGTTTTGTTTTAACAAGAGGCTTTTTTTGTACTGAGCATCTTCTGAAGTACATGTATCTCAAAACGTTATCGTCCGGTCTTCAAAAGTCTGAGATACAGCTGGTGACTTGGACAATTTCATCAACTCTGGACAATGCTATAAAGACCATGAAAGAGAGTTCCTAGCTGCCTAACTGTTGCTGTGTCCAGCTGAAATAATTTTGCGGGTACTCACGTAGGACCCGCACTTGATGGCGATGTTGCCCGGCTTGTAAGAATCAGCCACCTCCTCCGGTATCTCGCCTGGTTCATAATCCTCAGGAACCCAGTCTACAACCTAAGGGATGAGAGGACGTGTGAAAAGTGAAATAACGGGCTGCAAATGCACCCCTAGGGGTGTCAGGACATGTCCAAGAGAGGGTTGTTTGAAGGTGGGGCAGGGACCAGAATGTGCTATGTTGTTTTCAATACCAAATGAACCACTTCAAGTTTAAAAAGCACTTGTATGAGTTGGCATATGGCTGCACTGACGAGGCAGACCTCATGTGCATACATGTTCCCCAGTAACCTCACACATGGTTCATTTTGGAGCATGTGCTGTTGGAATACTGAACGAGCTCATTGCTTGGCAACCCTGCATCAGAGGAGAAATGGGTACCCAAGGGTGAAAGGATACACCAGCATGAGGTTAAATGGGTGAAGGGTGGGGTGGTTCAAAAGTTATCCACTGCTGGGCCTGTCTGGCTGGGGCAGATTACTTTAAACTTGAGATGCAAGAATGCCTGGTCTTGTGCCTGGTCTTGAACCAAGTCTTGTGTCTGGTCTTATGTCTGGTCTTATGTCTGGTCTTGAGCCTGGTGTGGACTGCAACGCTGTTGTCTCTCGAATGGTCTTACCCGGTTCAAGCTGATGAACACACATGGCTTCCGTTGGTTGTAGCCAAAGTCAGGGGGCACACAGAACTCTCCCAGGGAGGTGCGATCAAAGCGGCAGAAAGAGCCCTCGGGGGGTGCTGTGCCATTCGAGCAGTCTACGTATCCTTCCGTCTGGTTGGCTGGGTCGAGAGCTACGATCAAGAGAGGGCCCATTTTTATTGGGTGACAGTGTGAAACCTGCTAATACAAGATTAGCTAATATGGCAGAGTAGGCCAGTTGCTGGGGGGGGGGGTTCAGAGGGGTAGGGCCCCTAGGCAAGCAGCTGGCGCCCCCTGGTAGCTAGTGCTATGGCCCCCAAATGTCTGAAAGTGGCAACAGGTTCATGGCTGACAAAAAGACTAATGCACATGAAATTTGATACACTGTCCAACTACAATGACCACCTTGATCTTTAACAAATTGTATTCTGGGTGATTCATTACATTTTCTTCCCATTTTGGCACTAGAATTGATAATTTGGACAAAAAAGAAGCCATATTGTTTCGAACATGATGGTAGAAATACTCAACTGTGGCAGTCGGGATATACAACATTAACTCTAACCCCCTTAAGGTTACGCGACATCATGTTGAATTTGGAGGATTGAGAACACAGAACTGTATTCCACACATAGCAGCTTGATACACTTGGTGTTTAGTCCAAAGAAACTTGTGTCCCCTTTTTCCCACTGGCAGATTATACAGTTTGAAGCTATGGAAGTGAGTTGGTAAACGGGTTGATGCCAGGAGGCTGTGAGTCACCCCCCCCCCCGGCAGGTCCAATCACAGGATGGGGCTTGGTGACTAAAGGCCTGCAGGCATACGGAAGAGCAAGAAGCCCGTGTTTACTCACAATCCCAGATGGCCTGGAGTTGCTCGACGTATTTTGCATAGTCGTTGTTATTGGCGGCTGAATACTTGATCATGCTGTACTTGGCTAATGGGACGGCGGTCAAACCTTCAAGAAGATTAATAAACCCAAGAATGAGTGGGTTCGGTATTCCAAGGTCAAACAAAAACAGTGACAGTGGCGTATTCAGCACAAGGGGTCCCCCAGATGAATCTTCTTTAATTTTCAAAGAATTCTTCACAGGTGAGTGGGATAGAAAGTAATTTACATTTATTTCTCAAATATTGGCACCAATACCTTAAGAAAACACCACCAACAAATAAAAGCAGCATTGTCAGGACCGTCAGCAAGGCTTTTAATTTCTTGCTCTCCCAATATCATGTTGAATGAGCCAAAGCCACATTCGCTGTTGGCTATGTACCCCCCACATCAAACACTGGATGTGCCACGGGTCAAAGATGAACATGAAGTCAATCCTATTGATGCGGCCACATGCCTTTGCAAGTGTGTTCTATCCTGCAATGACAGTGCCTTTTCGAAATATCAAACTATCCACTAGATCGATTCCACCCACTGTAAGTCACATAACCTACAGTGGGTATCAGACATCAACAAGCATGGTGGACTCCCACAGCACAGAGCGTCATTATGACAGCAAAGTGTGTAGTAAGTGTCATTCACCAAAAGTAGACAAACTACTTGATGTGACGAGTGCTACACAGAAAATCAGCCTGGTTTTTGATAAATACTTGAAACATATTTTGCCAAGGGAGGATGCCATATTTGTTGATTTTTATACCTAATTCAGTTCAGGTGACTTAATGGGCTCAATTGGTCTATTGCTTGTGATTCAGATAAAAAACAAAACAATAATTGGCAATTGACAATAACACTGGGTGATTTGTAAACTCACCAGGCCGGCCGACGTAGGAATTGTAAGTGGGACGGTCCAGGTCAACAGTCAGAAGGAATATGTAGAGCAGAAGACCCCAGAAGGCGGCCAGGCAAATGTAGTAGATCAGGTAAAAGAGGCCAATTTCAGCTGAGTAAAGAACAGGACAAGAATCAAAGTGTTTAATTTGTCAGCGCTTTAGAACTACTCCCCAAACTTGGGCTTTGGCTACTTTTAGCTTGGTTTTCTAGCAGTCTTTGTGGGTTAAGTAACTTACTAGGAGCCCCTAGACTGAAGTTATGGGCACAGCAAAATGTTAAGTGAACAGCTAGTCGGAGGCTGTGTCCCAGTTACTTGCCTGCAGCCTGGAATTCCACACCATTTTATGGGTAGTGTATGTAATGCCAAGCTACGGTAAAGCCTCTTTATTCAGACAGGGCCACATCAACCCTTTCCCTTTATGCACGTATATACACCAAATTTTAGTCAGAAAGCTTTTCCATGCTCTCTGCTGAGCAGCAGATTGACACTTGAAGGTAACTCATGTTAACTGTTGGATGTAACAGTAGAGGTTGAACTCTGTATTCCTGTTGTCGATAATCCCTAAGATCATGCAAGGATGCTGGAAAAGGGGAGAAACAAATGATACAATCGTATATACTTTATAAATATAAAAATTGAATTCCGGTGAGTGCTGGAACAAGCAGGGTGATTTTCCAGAAAAGAGGTCCAACACACAGCCCTGTTTAACACTTGATCAGCAAATGCCGCACCGTACACACGTGCTTGCTGAATTCCCAACTATTCTCTATTGTTTCAACCGCACTACAACAATAAGGCATTTGGGAGTTTAATTGAATAAAATCTGGTGCACCGAGTTATCTGACAGCACATAAACATAATTTGAATTCTTCAGACTAAAGACACTGTTGCTATACATCGTGATTTGGGGCAAGCTTTCACATATCGATCACCATCTCTGGAATGGACTGGTTCCTTTATGCCCTCATCCATTGTTGCAAGGTGTCTCTTATGTAACTAAGCAAAAGCTTGCCCCGAATCACGAGGTATAACAACAGTGGATTTAGTAAGGAGAATTCAAGTTGTTATGTTCGCGCAAATTTAAAGAACTCAGTGTACCAGATTTGGGTCAAAGTTAACTCGCAAAAGGCCAATTCTGTCAGCAATGCATCCACATCTCCACATTCAGAGCACATGAACAGAATCCCCAATGTCCTTGGAAATACATGTACAGTGACAAGTGGAAATACAAAACTTCTTTTCACAAAAAAGGGAACAATTAGGCATGCAATGGTTAGGGGGAATTAACCACTATTTATTAAAATCTCCTGCACATCAAAGTCAACTGTGTGGCGCACAAAGCCATCCATTAATACTTCAAAGTGTAATCCTCAGTACATATCACACAGACTACAAAAACAGGGGGAAAGAACTCTCTAAAGTTCAGAACTTTCTTCGCAGTTTATAATACAATAAGAGAGATACAGGAACTGAAGGGTACTGTAAAGGGGGGGGGCACTGAACTAAATACATGTAATGGAATTTTTTACTTTGCTTTTCATAAGTTATATGTTGGAGCTTGATCTTGCAGATTCTCCATCATTACAATGTCAAGATCGATTAATCCAAATTTGTCCTTGTTTCATAGCCGTTCAAACCAGGATTTGCAGCTTGTATGATCTATTTTTATGGTTTTGGGGCCACCAGTGGTCTGTTGTGGTCGAGTCCATTACAAAGCCAGTCACAACACTGGTCCTTAGTAGTAGGATGAACAACGACAAAGGACCGTTTCTGTCCCCGTTCACTTGAAAAGCCTGTGACTCGGCTAAAGACTGAAACTTACGACGGCCTTGACTATGACACTGTCGCTGCTTGACAAAGACCGGGGCCGCAAAGACCACCACTAGATTATTCCAGCAAGCTTGGAGAACCCACAGACTTCTGCTTGCGACTTAACAGTACATCCACCGGGCTTATGAGAGATTGGATGTGCAGTTCTGAATCTTGCTTGTTTAAAGAATGACAAGGAAAGCAGAATTTTATTCTGTGGCATGATGGCTGAGGAATCCTCAGTTGTTGCATCCTTTGTTGCATCTTAGTCCCCATTTTCCTTAAAAAACATCTAATTACAAGTATACAATTCTTTACCTACTTAATTAGAACTTGTTAAAACCTAGATAATCAACAGAGTATCCCCATACAAATGGAATCTGAATACACAAATTGTACATTGGTTCCTTAAGATCCATGACTCAGTACTGGTTTGTGGGTTGAAATGGACATTTTGGAAAAATCAAGTCACAAACTCCTATTTATGTCTGGAATTTCACGTTGTTGAAAATGAATTGGAAAGATCTGGGGACAGATATAACTTCAGATTTCAAAATGTGCTTTTTTGTACAGCCTGCTAGACCCATTTCTTTAAATATTTACGTTAGAGAAACAGTATGGACAACTTTCCCAGATCTTTCTTCTTTTTTTAATTGAATACTCCCATGTTGTGGGGAAAAGCTGCGTCATGAAATACATAATCATCACAACACATTCACAGATGTCTAGAGCAAGAAACTTTGATAATGATTCGGTAAACCTTTACGTTATTACTTTTTACTATTCCCTGAATGTTATATCTAAATTGTGAGCCATTGCTGTCAGAAGGGTTTGGTTTAAACTGCATCCAAAAATGCCGACACATTTCAGGTTCTTACGAGTCCAACACTGCATCCAAACAACTTTTAACAGTGACAGGTCACAGTCTAATTTTTAAAACAAGAAAGCTAAGAGCTAAACATAAGCCAAGAAGTAGTAAGCAATCAAAGGGAGGAATAGAGTTACCGGTACTCTGAATACAACATCTCACTGGTGAATACAGTTGGGCACATGGAACCCAAACTAGATTAAGCCAGTTCCACTTAGATCACACTGGTTCTAGCCGCATTTTGAGTGTTAATCTCCAACCAGACTAAGCAGCATGGATACACTGGTGTGCAGGGGTTGCTCATCCCCATCAGTGCTAGATCTGGCCTGTTCCAACTGGGCCAAGCTTGTTCAAGCCATATTTCTTCATGCTGTGAAGCTGTTTGGAGGTCAGGGCATATGAATACCACGTACCGGCGTGAGCCAGGTGGGTGGTTGGAGGTTTCTCAAGGAACTGCATGCTGAACTAGTACTGCATAATCAAAACCAGCTTACTTGGAGTACAAACTGTAACAAGGCATTGACCGACTGGCCAGAAAAAGCCAACCAGGAACAGGTTTGGCCTTGTTCAAACCTGTCGGGACAAGTCGCTATTTAATTGTGCTGGTTCTACGCCAGTTCTTTTATGCGGTGACCAACTGTCCGCAGATTTCCACCCACCGATGCCTGCCTCTAAACAAGCATTAAAGTCACCTCGCTATCTAAAATGCTACGTTATTAAATTACCCATAAAAAATCACAAAGTCAACTCTTTAATAATGACACAAATTTTACACAATTTTACATCTTCAAAATACTCTCAGCCTAAGCAATTTTGTTTTCAAAATCTTCTGACAATACACGTCTTTCCACAACTCTAATAACACAAAGAAGAATACACAGGAAAGAATACGAGGAAGTACTGGTCAAATATTGTAATTACAACTTCAAAGTTTTCTGTTGATAGCTGAAGTGTTTGTACCACTTTATGGCAGTAGTTAATATTAAGTGAGGAATCACGCTAGGTATGATGACAGAGGTACAGGAATGCGATGGCATACATGGTGTCCAAGAGAATACATGCAAAAGGCCTGACCGAGTTGAAAGGATTTTTTTTCTTAATTTGAAAACATTTTCAATGTGATAAGAGCATTAATTGCAACTGATTTTGATTACTGAAATAATGTAGACAGACAATTTTTATTCGAGCAGAATTCTGAGGGTGAAAAGCACAAACAGAAATAGAATATCAATTTTGTTAAGGAGTCAAAACTTGGATCAGATTCCTGCTTGAGCAATGAGCTGTGGTTTGTGCTGAATTTGACGGGGAAAAAACCCACACAAAAACAATTGAGTTAATTTATTGCAGAAAGTTCGTGGTAGATGACTATACACGTATGCGCAAATAATGCAATTTGGGCAGAATACTTTTATAGCCTATCTACATCTGCAAATATTACAACAGATGAATAGTCATAATACAACGGATGCAAAGTCATACCACTAGGGATGAATAGTTATATTACAACAGATTAACAGTCATATTACAACGGATGAATAGTCATAATACAACGGATGCACAGTCATATCACTATGGATGAAGAGTCATATTACAACAGATTAACAGTCATATTACAATGGGTGAATAGTCATAATACAACGGATGCACAGTCATATTACTATGGATGAATGGTCATATTACAACGGATGAATAGTCATAATACAACGGATGCACAGTCATATTACTATGGATGAATAGTCATATTACAACAGGTCGATAGTCCCTGGGTGACATCAGGGAAGCGACTGCAAATGAAGGGATTTGTTGTGTGAATCAAGGAGAGGGGTTCATCAGGGCCAAGACTTTTGGGACGGCAGCAGTTTGTCCGCTCCACATGTGACTGTGACGCTATGATTTTGTCAACTAATCTTCTTATAGTGCAACAAGACTAAGTAATGCATCACTCACTATTTGTACGATAGTCTGCAGTAAACAAAACTAGGGGGAAAAAAAGAAGAAAACTAACTCACCATGACAATTCATATAGAAAAGAAAGTGTTCAGTGCAACTTAAAATTCAAAACAAAAATGAAGGAATAAAAGGAAAGGATGTTTTAAAAGGAAAGGTATCCAAGAACATAGTAGTGCGGCACGGGAATGCGGCAACAGGTTTGGCAGTCTTCAACCCAGAAACTGTATCGGTCAATCTTTAGTACTACGACTGGTCCATGTGATGAACTGTTGACTGAATTAATGCCAAATGCTACACGGGCCGAGGTGCAACATCCCTCACTCTCAGTGTGCATGTTTTTGATAGTGTAAGCTAGACATTCGATTGGAACACTGGAGAATTATCTTTTGCGCGTTCCGAATATCACACGCAAATTACGCCTCGTTAGATTGACCTCTTTCCTTGGAATTCCATCATCAAGTACCTGAAGCTCTCGTTTGATCGTGAAAATTGAATCTCACACGAAATCCTTGTTGTCAAATGCATTCCTCACACTGACTTACCAACATATACATAAACCGGGACAAAAGGTTTAAAAAAGAGATACGTATTGACATTTGGGAGAGAGAGGAAAAAAATGTATTCCTAACTACGACCTCATTTACAATTCTTCTTTGCTCTTTGTGGACAGGACGAACTCATAAACAACGTCGGGGACGTAGTCGATGTCAAACAGGCCGCCCAGGGGCGAGAGGTTCCCCGCGTATGCCCGACATTGGACTTTGATCTTCTTGTCCATCACGTTGAGGTCAAACTGGACAGCGACGTACGGCTGGATGTAGTGGGCACGCTTGTCCTCATCTGTGGTCCCGACGAACGGGTAGTAATTGAAAGGGATGCCAGCTGACGGGTAGATGGTGTTGTTGGAGTAATCATACTTGTTTTTCTATTGGAAAGTTAAAGACAAAGCAGGCCCAGTCAACAGCAGAGTTCTGATGTTGCATGCCATGGCATGTTCAAGTGGCGACGGCAGTTAATTATCACTTGACCCGCGTCGCTTGAACGACGGGTGGTTTGGACCTTCAAACTTACCATTTGAGAACCAGCCATTGGGCATGGCTGCTCTGCTGCTAATCAATAGCTGATTTATTTATTAATATTGGGGGGAGCCATTCACATGAAGAAACCAAAAAACTTGCGACTGACAACAAAATGTGACGCTGAGATTTTATAAATGATTTAACTGGGGCTGTTCAAGTGTTGCTGTATGGCACATGAACACTGTCAAAGCAACTGACTGTGTTTGGAGCCTCGTACACCAGCTTTTACCCAGCTCACTTAGTTGGCCAGCTTTTAACTACCAGCAGTTAACCTTGGTCAGCCAGTTAACCAGCTAACACTGGCCTTTGCTATGCCCAGCAATTTTTCTGATTCCACAAACGGCACATACACGTGGCAAAATACTGATTCTAACAATGTATGAGATATAAACGCGGCCACTAGACATGCGAGAGGTGGCAAAACCTTAAAAGCACAGCTTGTACCAGGCATGCCATTACAAGAAACAAACAAGACAATACAAAAGAAACAAAAAATACAAACTGGGAAAACATTACATACACTGTATATACAAAATGAGGGTCAAATAAAAATAATGATGCATGAAAGGACTACTGGAGAGGGGGTGACGGATACTTAGTCACACATGAAACTACATGTAGGACCCTGGAGCCAAGGACGCATGAAATCTGTTGCGTAAGATAAAATGTACGTGTACATTCAGAGTTATCGTCGAGTATCCTTCAGTGATTCTCTGTACTTGTCTCACACACTCAAGGTTCCCACTGGTGTCTTGTATAGAAAAGTGCATGTCTTGCAAGTGCTGGGAGGAGGTACATGTACATTCAGGGTTCCTGCATCTACAGGACAATTAAATTCTGTGACTTTTCCATGACCAAATTATGAAAATCCACGACCAAATAACGCAATTTCTTGGACTATTGGGCCTTTTAGGTTGCAAATACAATCACAGATTTTATGCGCTTTTTTTCCTGATAATAGAAATTATAGTGTTTTATGACTTCCATGACAAAATTCCACGACTTTAGTCACTTTTACAAAATTCCATGACTTTTCCAGGCCTGAAAAAGGAAAAACAAAATTCCCTGTACATTACACTGCATGGGCAGAGGAATTCCCAGCAGTATAATTACTCACATAATCCATGCAGTGGAACGCAATGTTTCCGGGCTCATAGACGTCCTTGATGACATCAGGGACACTGTCCTCATCGTAGTCCTCAGGAATCCATTCCGAAACCTGCAAAACGACAAGAACGAGGCTTCGGGGTCGGTTTCGATGGGTAGTAAGCATGGCACACTTTCGGGAGAATGGAGAGGAGACCGAAAGTGCTGGTCTGGATTTCATGAAATGATATGATTTCAGTGGGGCACTTTTAAAAGGACATTTACATACCTGCCAACACCGAAGTTAGAAATTGCTAACACCCATTTCAGGAGCCGCAGAAAACAAGCAGATGTGCCAAAGAAGCTATTTACATGGACATACATATACATGCACGCACATGTACCCCTATGTATGTGTGACAGCACCATTCTGCTATAACAAAGGGTGCCCTCTTTTGCCATGACTTCCCCCTCCTTTTTTTATCAAAATCAAAATGTTGATTTTTCTGGTGGTCTAAAAACTGAATAATAGAAGCAGTTCTGAAAAGGAGTAGGAATGGTTGGCAGGTGTACGTGTATCAGGCCACGTGAAAAAAAAATTGTTGTTGATTGTCCCTGCCTGACCTCCCAAAACAGCCCGTCTCCTATCTTTACTTTGAATACATGTACTGCAGAACTATGGTGAAGATTCAGAGATTACGTTTATTCAATTCCGAGTACAAAATCATATTGCATGTGTAAACAGGCAGTGAAATCCAGAGCGGATTCCAGTGGTATCTGTCATCTTCAGAAGTCTCTGTTCATGAGGAATAGTGGATCTACATGTAGTGGCTGCATCGGCCCTGCAGCACACGTTCGCATTAAAATCAGAGAAGTGCTCCATTCACTCCTGGTATCCTTACTGGCTGGTATCCCGTCTTCGTGTTGTGCTGCATGCTTGGGCAGTACACATACTGTGCTTTTATTCGAGTCCATCAAAATATTTTGCAGAAACTGAATTAGTGTGGCACTGGACTAGTTGTATGACAAGGCTGCATGTAGTCATGTTTGTGGCGATGAAATGTTCGCTCAAACGATCATAGAGTGCGCATTTGTCGCAGTGACGTCTCGCCAAAAGGCTGGAAAAACTTTCAGGTTCGCCTCTGCCGCACATTTGCCCGACATCAAAATCACATGTTGACCTGTATTTAGGTCAAACTACGTGCACATGAAAATGCTTCTTCCTTTTTCGCCGAGCTGGAAATTCCAAAGTTAGCAGAATAAAATTGACGTACACGTAAGCTGTGGACGAAGCCGAGATATTTGGCATCGGCTGTACAGCACGTATATATAGGCAGTGCATTCACACAGCTCTGAACTCACATCAGACTTGTTGGCTTCGTATAAGAAGAGGAAAAACAATCGGAAAGTGAAACTGATCACCGACATGGAGCCGAGATAAAACGCGACACACATTAAAATGTATTTAGGTTGGTTCTAAAAATAATCAACTGCTTCTTATCACGTTAGTGGTGTCATGAGAAAAAAATTAATAAATTAGAACCCTCTCTCCCGACCCAAGTTCCTGGAAAAAAAAGATCAACAATTTGCTTCTCTAGGTCGGAGATCATTAGCATGGTTTACTGGAACTGTTTGGTAATGAATACAACCCATTCTAATACAAGTGTCAAGGGGGGAAAGCACACTCACTCTGTTCAAACTGATGAACAGGCAAGGTGAACCCTCGTCCCAGCCAAACATGGGGGGTCGACAGGGGCCGAGGACCTCCCGGTCAAACCGACAGAACTTGCCGTCGGGCGCAGTATCGTTGAGGCAGTCCACGTAGACCTCATCAGTCTGATTTTCAGGAGCCAAGGCTGGGGTCAAGACAATGTAATAGAGAAAAACAAACAGAGACGTTAGTTACAGACTTATCGGCTCCAAACCGGGAACAGGAAATGCATTGTTTTCGCCCTGGAACAATGTTCCTATGGTTTGCACTCACAGATTCATGCACGGAATGTGTTGGAGCCCAGTGACCAACTGTCGCACCGACCTTGAAGGAATTACCGCCAAGGGTCAGCATTTGTAAAGGTCCATCCTTGTTAAGGGCTGTGGCATCTTGTTACATTGAAAATCTGTATTTTCAGGCCTAAATAATATCACGTCTTACACAAGTGTAACATGCAATACTATCACTACATGCAAAACAAGGTAACGCTGCATGTTACGCTCCACGGATTTGGTCTGGCTGGCAGCTGGAACACCAAGGATTAAAAGACACAGAAGCGACAGTAAAACTCATCAACATTTGCTAGTAATCAAATTACACAGGTGGTCACAGTGAAATATTTAATGGTGGACAGATCAGACAGATGGTACTACTCCAAGTTGTGCAAAATGCAAACATGATTCTAAGATAACATGCGTTCAAAGTTATTTTTCACTTGAAAGCACCTATGATGGTAATTCGAGACCAGGGAAGAATGGCCTCTACCTGTTCTGCTCATTAACCCTCCTATGGTTTTACA